ATAAAGTGTACAAAGTGTGCTCAGTGTTTAATTAAATAATTGCCTCCCAGAAGTTACGTCTTCAAGTCAGTCACTACATATGTACCAGATACAAGACATTTGATTTTGGATTGTTCCTTTGGCGCGATGGAGCCGTTGTCTGAGCATTTGACTCACAATCAGAACGCCGTGAGTTCAAACTCAGTTGTGGGGGTCCACTGAGGCTAACACCATCACGCCAAGGAGGGATAAAACAACAAGCTTTTTCCAGGAAGTCGACCAAAACAATTGCCTTGGTAAAGCCGAGTACTCGGACATGCGAATGTGGAATTTACGCCTCCAGCACAGTTCTGCCAAGGGGCATATTCGTCAGCCCCACGAAGATGGAAACATTTTGACTCTGGGTCTTGACGCTGATGAAACGATGGACGTCGGGCGAGAACAGCAACAACAAAAAAACCCACCGCCCATTTATAAAAAAAAAATCCAAACTCTATCTCACGACCTCTGCAGTCCAGCTCCACGCTCGCACACAAACCCGGCCATTGTGAGCCCCCACCCTCCTAGCACGAGAAGCGGGGGGGGGGGGGGGCGCGCGCTGCAGACAACAAGACACGGGGTTTTGTGCTGCTGCGCCGGTGCATTCCAGTGCCACCCACGCGCGTGCTCGCTAATTCGCTCGCTCAGACAAGCGCGGCCCCTTGTGGGGGGCCCTGCACCTCAACCGCCTTGTGGCCCGGTCCGGACAGTTCTTGCCAGGGCAGCGGTCCACGTCCCGGCCGTACCCCCCTTTTTTGACGGAATTCTTTCGACGCAACCGGCACGCCGCTCGCAGGCTCATGCCAAAAATCTCGGTCTCTTCCCCCGGCGGGCTACTCCCGGCCCTCCGTTCGTTTCCGACGAAGTGTAAACACCGATACTCGAGTACAACAACGTCTCCTTATCTTGTAGATACCGTGTGTGCTGGCGACGTCTGGCGCGCGTGGCCGTGTGTGTGTCCGCGGCTGTTCCTGCATCAGTGTTTGTGAAGGCTTGGTGAAGATTGTGAGAAGCTCCTCTTCCCCGTGACTCTGGTCACGGTTCAGTCACTGCGCTGTGACTGCCATGGCACCTTTGGTGCAATGGTGCAGTGATTGTTATTTAATATTATTATCATCGTCACTACAATTGTTCACCCAGGAGGAGTCTCAAGATTCATTTTCAAGAGGGTCCTGCCAGGTTTTCACAGGAGGGCTAGCGTTGCTACTATTCAATCCCAATTGAGTCATTAGCGGGTAACTTTTCAGCAATCAGATATTAGGTCAATACACTTACAATGTATGTTTTTTAATCTATGGGAGGCAACCGTAGAACCCAGAGGAAACCCACGCAAAACAAGAGGGGAGAACATACAAACTCCACATAGGTGCCCGAGTCAGGAATCGAACCCAGGCCATTCTTGCTGTGAGACACCGCATGTTAGCAAATCGCCACGCTGATGTCCCTACAGTGATGCGCTCTCCTGAAAGTAACTCTTGAAGGTGTTTTTTTTCTCATAACGAGCGAAGGTTTGAAACAGGATTGCCTCTGTGATGCTCGGCCGTGATCGGTGGCCTTCATCTACCTGAGGAAGTCTCTGCTGAGTCTCAAGGCTCTCTTTCGGGAGGGTCCGGCCTTTGCGACGCTTGGCCAGAACTGTTTAAGAATGTTTGGCTGCTAGTGGGAGGAAGCGGGGGTGCCCAGAACAAACCCCACACACTCTCAAAGCCCCATACACAGACAGATTCAAATCACAGACAGACTCAGTCCAGTGAGTGGACCAAATTCGTTGGTGGTGGGCCAGTCCCAAGGCAGCGCTGCAAATCTATTGACACCTCATGCAAATAAGCCGGAAGCCGGTATGCACCGGTGGCTATCTATTGAAACATTAACCAGGCTCCTTGGGACCCTGCTTAGCTTTCGAGATCCGATGAGATTGGGTGCAGTCCAGGTGCTCTGGCCGTCCATACGTGGCAAGAGAAAGATTTGCCTTTGGGGTTGCGAGTTTAAAAAAACAGCGATCGCTAATGGACCTGTCCACCCAGAAAAGCTAACACCTTATTTCAGACGATGGCTTTCTTGCTGCAGCAGCAGCAGCAGCAGCAGAAGGAGGTGAGTATTGTTCTGTGTTTCCCAATTAAGTCATTTGTGAGTAATTGTTTTACAATTTGAATTATTTCAAACAATTGAGCAGTCAGCGCTTTCGAATTGGCTGCCGCGAGCCACGAGAGGAAAGTCTACATTCCCTTGACAAGGCCACTCGTGCGAATGCTGATTTCCGCTGCCAACTTTCCTCATATCTGTAGTAGTTTTTTACAAGCCTTGGTTCCATGCTGGTGATGATGATTATTTTGGGCTGGATAATGGCCGAAACTGCACTTAAACTCTTCCCAACTGTGAGCCACGGTGAACGTTCTCATCTTAAAACACTTTTTTTATAGAAACTTAAAAAATGTTATATAAAAATACGCACGTACGTTTGTTTGAACGTCTTTCGCACCACCGTACGTAGCCAACCCCCGTGCTAACCCGAGGTGCGGGGGAAGGACAAAAAACGATGTCAAAGGAAAGAACACGGAGTCTTCCCATTAATTAGCCTCAGCTATTGCTCACAGATACCCCTGCGGAGAACTTTGAATCTGGGGAGATGAGGGGGAAGAAAGTGAGGGGGGTGGAGGGGGCCTGTGGGGGGCCTGTGGAGGACTGGTTGAGCTGTCTGACAGCGGCTGCTGGTGTTGCCGTGTGCCGTGTGGTGCTCGTGTCTCAGGGAGCCAGCACACTAAGGCCGGCTTGTTGTTGTTGTCCCACGGTATTCGCGTCTTGTGCAGTGGATCTTCGCCGCCATGTCTACTCTCCCGATGTTAGATTTCTTAGAGATGATAATTCACGTGTATCGTCCGGTTCTAAAGGGCGATTCACCTCCATTTGCTCGGCGTCGCTCGAATGCGGGTTATTTATTTATTATGTTGTTCTTCAAATCGGTCGCGGTTTCTTCAATTTCAAGTAAAAAAAATCGCGCGTGCCTCAAACGACTGGAGGTAATCTAAGAATAAAAATTCACCACCTTCGCCTTAAAAGAACAAAAGAAAATATATAAATCGGTGACTTTTTGGGCACGTGATATGAAGGACGATTCCACAAAAAAACGTCGCCTATCATATATCTTTTTTACTTTAAGGCCACAGTGTTTGTTACTGACGAATGCGTTGAGTATTTTTGTTGTTCGATTAATTATCCTTGCGCACCACCGCCGCGCACCTCCGACTCGCACGGTCGGCTACGTACGGCGCGAACGAAGCTCAACACACGTACTGTCCGTGCTGTCCGTAGAACGCAGGGGCAGCGTCGTCGGCAGGTGATGTGACCGCGACCCAGGTCGCCCTTGCGCAAGAGGCAGCGGCGTTTCACGCCTCTCCGTGGGTTCGCTCGCTCTCCTGTTCTACGCCAAGCGGTATTCGCCACGGAATTGCGCATCCGATTAGCGCGGTCGGCTACGTACCGTGCACTGCGCGTTCCCACGCTCCGTCCCTCACGGTCGGGGTGAGAATTGCCTCCACACTATGATGACGATGATGTTGATTGTGTCGTGGGGCAGTCATTCGTGCTCAGGCCGAAGCTCCGTGGCCTCGCTGCCGTGGAGGACCAGGCTCCATCGCGAGAGATGAATTCCCGTGCCGAATGCAAGAATCCCACCGAGTGATTCTGACGAGGCCATTACGGACCCCCTGCACCCAGGGATCGGCAGTCAAAATTACAAGAAGAGAGGTTTTTTGTCGAGCCGCAACGCACGTGAACACGAGAGGGCGGTCCCTTAATGAGTAACGTCACGAAGCAGTTCCTGAAAGAGCTGCAGGCTGCCGGCCCGCTGCCCTCAGCACCTCGAAGTGGACTATGGAGGAGGAGATGACCAAAGGGTGGATGGGGACGCTGAGGTTGTGTGGGCGCTGCTTGAGGGACGTGTCGAATGTGAGGCGGATGAGAAGACTTCGCTGCACGTGGTGGTGACGGTGGTGGTCAGACTAAGGCCCGCGTATTCTGGGTCACAGCTCGGCTCGTGCTCAGCTCTGGCTCTAAGCGAGCCGTGGCTGAGAGCCACGCTTAGCTGGAGCCAGGGTCGCAGCCAAGCTCAGGGTGTGTCCCCGTGAGCTGAGCCCGAGCCGAGCCACGTGTCGGCCGCTCGCTCGCTCGCTCATTCGCGCCACTGAACGCAGCGGAGCGGTTCGAGAGCCCAGCTAAGCAGCGTGAGAAGCCGAGCTGGGGCCGGGACGCGGCCACCCCAGGGTGCGACCGTCTGGACGCCGGGCGTCGGCCAGCTTCGCCGGCGGCTTCGGGAGTCTTGTCCGCACGGTCTCATATCCGCAGGAGCGGCAGTTGTGGACTTCTCGCCAATTTGTTCCCTCGTTTACTCACTCCGAACGTGACGGTGAGGACAGGGCTCGAGTCGAGGATTTCAACTCTCGAGCCTCCCCTGTGGGTGCCCGTGAGCCGCGTGCCCTGGGCACGGCGTCCGTCTTGGATGTTTGCTTCGACCCGTCCCGGGGAATATAAACAATGCCGATGCTCGCTCCGCTGGCTTCGCGTTTGTTATCGCTCACTCGGGTCTGTTTTTTGTTACCGGCGGCCGTGCCCCTCGGCGACGGAGCGCTCATTCCGTTTTAGATGTCATCGCGTTACCCGCGTGGGACCGCGCTTGCGCAAGGGAAGTTGACTTGACACCGCGGAGAGAAAGGCAAAGGACGATGATGATGATGATGATTCCCTGCGGCTTCTGATGATAATGATGTTTATTGTTGTGATACTACTGTTGCCGCTGCCGCTGGTCTTGGTGCCGGCAACATTTTCCCGACTGCCGTGTTCGCGTTTTACAACGTAAGAGCCGGCGAGCACGGAGAGGGCCGTGTGGACAGGGAAGCGTTGTCACAGACGGCCGTCGCGAGGCACACAGAGGGAGAGAGTGAGTGACCATCACTGTGCACCCCCCCCCCCCCTCCCGGCCCTCGCAGATCCCTCAGCGCAGATGAACGGCCCCCCGGTCTTGTCGCACCACCACATGATGGGCGCTGGCCCGCAGCACCACGGCCTGCACCATGAGCTCCCCCACCACGGCATCTCCTCCTCCTCGTCGCCCATGGGCGGCGGAGGCCTCTCCCCGCCCGCGCTCAACGGCATGTGCTCGCCGTACCCGGTCATCTCCTCCTCCACCGTGGGGCCCAACCTGCACACGCCGCCGTCCTCCCAGCACGGCGTGTCCTACATGGGCGGCCCGCAGGTACGCACGCACGAGCAGGCACATGCACGCACGCACAAAACAAAGATGCCCCGTATAGCCTGAGCAGACTGTTGGGGCAAGTGCTGTTAGCGAGCACCTTTGAAGGCCGGCACGGAACACGAGGGGGTGGGTGGCCAGCAACACGTCCGGCCACCTTTGTCTCCCCGGTGGCGATGTTTACTCACCGCACCAGGTACTATTTGAGGCTGAGTCGACCTAGGGAAGGCCCAGGACCGGGAATCGAACTCGGGTCGCCAGGGTTCAAAGCGCATCGCGCTAACCGCTACACCACCGCACTCCACACGCACGCCACACGCACGCCACGCTGGTCACACTCTGCCACCCGTCACGGCGGTCGCCGCCTACAGAGCTCGTCACCAGAGATCGGTCCACATCGGCCACCTGGAGACCCCCGCCATCCGAGATCTTTTTTTCACTTTCTTGTCTGATGGCATAATCGGAGGACCGACCTGTGAGTCTGCCGTCAAGCCAGCTCATCGGAGAATCCGTCTGCTCGTCTCTTGGCGTAGCGTGCAAAAATAGACAGTTAAAAATAACACCGGCAAAAACAAAAACAAAATAATGCAAGTGAAAGTTACGATGGAGACATTTTTTTTTCGCTTTGACTTTCAATCTGTTTCAAGGTCCCGCGCTTTAGTGAGATGCTGCGGTGTGGTGTGTCACATCGCGGGGCTGATGTCACATCCACTTACTCTCACGTCGCCGCACGTGCTCCCACAGTCTCTCCTCTCACGCTCCGCAAAACCCCTGTGCCTCTTGCTTGCACGGGGCTGCTTGCAGATGTTTTTCTTTTCCCAATAAAAACTGCATTATCATTGCGATAACAGAGAATAAATTACCTGCCTAATCAATATCGTAAAAAAAGAAAATATAAAGTCGTGCTGCTCACGGAAGCATCAATGATTCGTAACAAAGTACAGCCGCTTTGTTGATCCACTGCTGGATGAAGGCCTTTCTAGTGCTGTGTCAGTCTTGGGCAGTTGTTTGGCCATACTTCACCCATATTGGTCAGTAGGCGACGAAGGAAGCCCAGGGACGGTTCAGGATACCGTCCGCCACTTATGTTAGCCACGGTCGGGAATCGAACTCGGGCCGCCGCAGCGGCGCCTTCACGACTGCACCACCGCTGGCGCATCACGGGGCGAAAGTGGCAGCATCCCGGGGCCACTGGTGGAATTTCCACATTCCCGTGGCCGATTGCAGTCTCAACCCTTTTTCGATTTCCCAGAAAGTGGTTCTCATTTTATCATTCCAGAGTTACAATGACGACGACGACGACGATGGACCGAGTTCATCCCAAGTAGCGGTTTGACTTAACGGCCTCCCAGCTGCGTCATCAGCGCTCTGAGCACCGAGCCGCGGTCAGACCCTCTCTGTTGTAGCCGCCGTATCAGGGTCACGTACATGAGGGGGGGAGGGGGTGACGGGGAGGACCACCGTCCCCTGTGGAACTCATCGGGGCGGCGGGCGGCCGCACCCCGTGCCAGACAACGTCTCCGGAAGGCGACGCCGACGAAACTCCCCCTCGAGTCACTCCAATAGGGCTCCGTCACCCAGCGCTAGGGGGCTCTCCTTCGCCGTACGTGGCCACTGCAGAGAGAGATTGAGCGGCGCCATCACCACCGCGCTCCCAGCCGTCGACTTGGCTGAGACCGCCAACCCCACCGGACACGACAGCCTTGCGGCGTTGTCACAGGCAGCAAAGACGGCAATCACATTCATTGTATCATTTGTGTCTTATTATTTTTATTCTGCTTGTTTACCCAGGAGAGGAGTGTGACTTTTTCTGGAGGGCAATATCAAAACATTTTAAGATTATTATTTGCCAAATTTGGACCGTGATGCCGACAGGCATCAGACCTCTCTCAAGAACGACACGTCACGGGATCCCATTCTTTTGTATCGTCCGCTGCAAAGCGAACGGTGCGTGGCGTCGCTACTGCTGCGACTGCTGTGGCAACCGCGGGATTTACCGGTTGCGGTCGCTGGGATTCTCACCGCGAACCTCTGCGACAAGCGCCGTGCCAACGATTTGCCATGGAAATCCTCGCTGAGTCTCAGGACTCCGTTTCAGGGTGGGGTGTGCTGCACCGGGATGCTGTTGGCCAATGCCTTGAGTGAGAGTTTGGCTCCGTGCAGGAGGTAACCGTAGAGATCGCACGTGATGGTGTGACGCTCACAAAGTGGTTGGTACGGTACTGTACTTTAGTGGTGGCCGTGGTGGTGGTGGTGGTGATGGTAGAATCGCTATGATCGTAGTGATGGTGGTAGTGTGGACAGCGTTGTTGGTGGTGATGGTGGCAGAGGTGGTGGTAGAGAAGGTGATACAACAGTGGCGGTTGTGATGATATTTGTGGGAACGGTGGTCATGTTAGCAGTGGTATTGGTTGTGGTGGTGGTATTGTTGGGGAGCGGTGGCGCAGCGTTATTTTTATTCCCACTCGCAGCCAACATCAGTGACGAATATCTGAACCGGTCATGGGCTTTCCCTAGGTCGACTCAACCTAATTGAGTTTCTGGTGCGGTGTAAACATCAGATTCGGCCTCCGTGTTAAATTGTAAACATCAGCACTGGGGGGTGATGAAGGCGCCCCGTGCGTGGTGCTGTGCCGGCCGTAATGGTACTCCCGAACAACACTTGCTCCAACAGTCTGTTGAGGCTATATTGGGCATCTGTTGTCTTTGTTGGCAGCGATCTTGATTGTCGTGGTAGTGGTGGTTGTGGTGTGTGAGTAGCAGTGGTGATGGCGAGCGGTAGCGTAGTGGTTAGCGCGCTGCGCTACGAGCCTGGCGACCCGAGTTCGATTCCCGCTCACGGCCAACACCACGGACGATTATCTGAACCGGTCATGGGCCTCCCCTAGGTCGACTCAGCCTCAAATTAGTACCTGGTGTGGTGTCTAAACATCGCCACTAAGGATACAAAGGCGGCGGGGGTTGGTGCTGGCCACCCCCCCTCGTGTGCCGTGCCGACCTTCATAGGTGCTCGTTAACAGCACTTGGCTCAGCAGTCTGTTAAAGGCTATACGGGGGAGCTTTGTCTTTGCTGGGCTGGCGGCACTAGTGGTGTATGGTGGTGCTGGTGGTGGTTGCTATATTGGTCGTCGTGTTGCTGATGTTATTGTTTGTGACGCCTAGAATAATCCAGCGCCTCGTGCAGGCTGCTGCTGCTGCTGCTTTAACCAGCAGCTGAATATGAAACGAGTCGGATCGTTTTTGGCTGCAGGCGACGAGTGAAGCGCATTTCCCTTAATAACTTGAGACTGGAAATGCTAATTAAACCTTTCATAAAGTTTACAGGAACTGCATGGTGCACACATCAGAACGCACACACGCGCGTACACACGCACACACATGTACAAAGACAGAGATCCCCCACAAAGGCTTTACAGACTATTGGGGCAAGTGCTGTTAGCAAGCACCTTTGAAGGCCGGCACGGCACAAAATGGGGTGACTGGCCAGCGACATGCCTGGCCGCCTTTGTCGTCCTAGTTTAAATGTTTACACACCAGGTACACTTTTGAGGCTAAGTCGACCTAGGGGAGGCCCATGGTGTTGGCCATCAATGGGAATCGAACTCCAAAGTGTACCTGTACACATACACTACACAAATACACACACACGCGCACAAACACATGCGCACAAACACACACATGCGCACACACGCGTTCAAACACACACACACTGGCACAAACACACACGCGCACAAACATATACACGCGCACAAACACGCGCACACACGCGTGCACACACAAACACACACGCACACACAAAAACACACAAACACACGCACACACACACAAACACACACATGGGCACACACACAAAAACACACACGTGCGCACACAAACACACGCACACACACACGCACTCACACACACGCACTCACACACACGCACACACACATGTGCGCACTCACACACATGGGCACACACACACGCACTCACACACACGCACACACACACACACGCACTCACACACACGCACTCACACACGCACTCACACACACACGCACACACACACACGCACTCACACACACGCACTCACACACGCACACACACACACGCACACACACACGCACTCACACACTTGCTCGCTCGTTGGTTTTCAATGGCTTCTCCAATTTACAAGGAGAACAGCGCGCATCCGTTAAAAAATTTAATCGGCCAAACGTCTAATTCCAGGACCCTCCTGAACAGAGCCTTGAGACTCGATGAGACTTATCCTGGGTAAGTAATTTACTTCGTGATTATCGTCATCCCTTTACTCGTCTCTACAACGAGTGTAGCTTTGTTGGTCATCAACCAGCGGTTGCCCTTAATAGAGGTTTTTGGCGTTAGATTGCTTTTTTATAAATGTGTCGTTAAGCTCTTAAACAGAGGGATTAATACCCCGCTGTTAAAGACCCAAACAGCACGAGGATTTGTAATTACTGGCGAAACGTCGTACTTGAATTGTAAATGTTGTGGGTTTACTCTCCAACGTACCGGTGTGCTGAACTAGTAACTAATTGGTGCGTTAAAATCAAGACTCTGGCATGTTTTGTTTACATGACAATGCTTACTAATTGGCTGTGTCGGGTGGTGGCGGGTTTAATGACGCATTTATATTTTTGCGATATAACCCAAAAACCTGCCACCGTGAGCACCGTGCCGTCTTGCCGGAACGCCACTTTTTTTTGCTGGAGTTGTCCCTCGCTCGCCGCTTGACGGGGCGCTGTCGTGATTTCCAGCGACTTCCACGACGGTCGCTATGCCAGGACGAGCGAGCGGACAAAGGTCAATACATTTTGAGGCCTCCGGGGTGGGGGGAGGAGGGGGGATGTGGCATTTTTCCCGCAGAACAGAAACATGCAGCTGGTCGATAATAACTCTGCTGGTAGAGAAAAAAAAGTAGCCACCCGCAAAAGTAGGAGGGGGGGGGGGGCAATCGTTTCCCTGCCGTTGAAAGGGCTGCCCACCGGGAGAAGGTCACGAAA